AAAAAAATGGGACTAATCTCTTGTTCCCAAGGAGCTACTTTCTTTGGAGATACTGAATAGGTAGCTGGATATCTGAGTCTGGGAGACAGTAAACAAGTACATTCAAGTCATGTTATGTAAGTAAAATGTTAAGTAAAGGCTGTGAAGAAAAATGAAGGAGAGCTGGTCTGAAGGGGACACCGGAGCAGAGGCTGGAATGGAGGAGCAGGCCACATTTCTATTGGGGGACATGCCTACAGGTAGAGGGAGTAGGAAGTGCAAAGGCCCTGTGGCAGGGAACTCCTTCGAGGAAAGAAAGGAACCCGGTATGGCTGGTGTGCAATAGACAAGAGAGAAGGTCCGAGAGGTCAGGGTCCACATTCTGAGACTTCGTTGGCCTAAGTCTAAGCTAAGTGAAGACAGGAGTGGAAAATGAGTGATGGAGCTCATCACACTGCCTAAACGCAAGTAAGCTGGAGGCAGAGAATTGACCTGGTTTTGGACAGTAGGGGTCAGTCAGGAAGTTGACTGATGGGAGTGGGCTCAAGGGCGGGTGCGAGAAAGAGATGGTCGTCCAGAGGATGGGTATGGACGCTGCAGAGCTCTGCTGTTGAAAGAGGAGGCGGGAGATGGTCATACCTTGCGTCCATCATGGGGTGAAGAGGACTTTCTAAAAGGGCAGCAGGTGTGGGAGCAGGTTTGAGTACTGATGGAAGTGATTCTTTAGAGAGGAGGTGATGGAGCAGAAGGACGCGTCAGCTGAGGGGTGAAGTTTGAGTGCCAGGGAGGGGATGGGATGCAGTGTCTGGAGGGAGGTTGGTCTTAGGGGAAAAGGCCCACACCTGTACATGATACCACACGAGAAAACATCACTCCCTCATCAGCTTCTTGTGGACAAAGAAAACGTGTAAAATTCCGGGTGTTGGTGAGGCTTTTCCATCAGGAGCTAGAACCCTGATGTAGTGTAACAGTACTTTGAAGCAGGTGAGTTTGTATAAATTAAAAGTTCTTCTTGATTCTTTTCAGACACCATGGACAAACCTAAAGAAAACTGTGTTTCAGGGCCTGCTAAGGTAAGTAATCTGTAGCCTCAGTTCCCGTTTATAAAACCCAAACAGAGATCGGTCCTCTCTCTGGAATTCTTTTCACCTTCACTGTGGATTTGTAACTTTCGATCCCCCTACCACATTCCTGGATATGAATTCATCATTTTTCTCAGCATTCAGGAACACTGTGTTGATTCTCTCACTATCTTGTTTTTTTCCGCTTGTCTTATAGTTAGCTGTTTCAGTGCCTTTATTTCTCCACTGTATGCAGGATAGTCATGCACACGACAGGCACCTAGTACTTGCCTGTATTTTCTTGCTTGTTCTGGTCTGATTCAGGGAGTTGTAAGCTCAATGCCGAGCGGCGTTAGTGGACTTTTCCCGGGACCCCACTTGGAGCCAGGCTCTGGGTCAGGTGTGGGGACTACACTGGCGACAGCACATGGTCTTTGACTTTGAGGAACTTAGAGCCCTGCGGGGAGGCGTGTGAGCCAATATCATGCCTTATTGTACACCTGCAGGACCTGAGTAATTGCAGGGAGGGTGCTCAGTTTCAATTGGGGTAGGTTGCAATCTAGGAAGGCTTCACTAAAGAAGGAGCCCAGGTTCTTGGCGTTGGATGAATAGTTGTGGAGCAATTGGGTGAACGAGACTCTCATATAAAGATCCTTTAAAGTAAGTAATCCTCAGACATTTTGTTTCCAGGAAATCAGCAATAAGAATATAAATATTGCTTGAGTTTTTTGGGAGAGAGGTTTGTTTTTAGATGTCTTCATCTTCAAATAAATGCGTACTGACCCTTTTCTACTGGCTGCAGGTATAAAATGACCAATTGGAAAAAGGTTAACCTGAGTCACTGTTTGATTCTCAATT